AAGCAGAGCATGATTGAGAAAGAAGAGAAAGAGGTTTGTTTGGGTCTCGATGGTGTTTCGAGATGAAACAAAAGTGATTGGGGGTTGAGAGATGAGAATTTGAGAGGTTTTGTTATAGTTATGAGAAATCGTAAGAACAGAGGAAAATAAAATGAAGCGGTTAAGTGAGAAAGAGAGTGAGGCGAGCGACCATCTTCAATGTTGCTAGGGTTTTGTTTTTTTTAATGTTACCATTTGGGCCTCAATCATCAACCTGAGCCCGATACACATAGATCCAGCAAAATCCACCTTTTTTGTTTGTTTTAATTTCAACAAGAAAAACAATAGATTAGTTTAAGCCTTCAATCTAGGCCTGGTCCGCCCAGATCAGTATCCCATCAGGCCATCCACCATTTCTCAAATAACGCACCCCTGTTCTTTTTATTTATTTATTTTTGTTAGACAATAAAAAACAAGTATGGGCCTTAGGCCCAGCGAATTTTAATACCCACACCCTAATTTTATATTTCTCACCTTTTTTATAATTAATCTAGTTTAGATCTAATTCAGTAACTTTAGAATGTTAATTTATTTTAGATTTAATTTATTAACTTTAGAATTTTAAGTTAGTAATTTTATAATTTTAATTTAGTTTTAGTTATTAACTTTAAAAATCTTGTTTAGTTTAGTTAGAAACTTTAGAATTTAAGTTTAGTTTACTTAGTAACCTTAGAATTTCAAAATTAGTTTAGACAACCCTCTAATTACATTTTCCTTTTATTCATGATTCTTTTTTTGTACGTTTATTTAGTTTCTTATAGTTTATCTTGTCACTATTCTCCTTGTTTGTTTCTTTTGGATTTTTAATTACTTATATATGATTCTTGCTCGATTACTAGACCTACTTGCTTGTGATCAATTCCAAGGAAAAGATTTAAATTTGTTGACTTCATGTCATCAAATATACCTTACACGATCGAGCGAATACCCCCATTCATTAAAAACATAGGATAATTTTCCCAAATATCCAATTTCTTCAAAAACTCACACCTTTTAAGTCAAAACTTCGACATTAGGTCTTCGTATCTTCAAAAACTCGTCCATACCCATTTTTCGGCCAAAACAATTTATTTTTAATCGAACGAACATTTTAATAAATAGATATTTCAAAAGGTTCCTATAGAATACTATAGATACATTGGGTGCTAATACCTTCCCATTGTATAACCAACCCCCGAACCATAGACCTCTTTTCAAAAACGCCATGTATTTTCATTACTTTTAAAAGTATTATTTACATTGCATACTTTAGGGTTTTATTTCGCTCTTTCCCCTTTTCCCTTGGAAATAATAAAGCGCGGTGGAGACTCTTGCTTTTGTGAGACGAATTAATTAATAGTTCGATCTCCGATTTACCCCGCTACATTTTTTATCGCTACAGAATTGGTGACTCTGCTGGGGACAAATTGACCTCTTGCTGGTCCATCCCTAAGTGGGTTAAGCCTAGTTTGTTTTATCTGTTTTATTATTATTTGATTTGTTTGATTATGTGTTTAAATTGGGGTTGTTTGGGTTTTTTTTGCAAAGGACGAATCCTATACCTGGATTAAGTTACACTTAAGAATAGGACGGGCGGTATAGTCATGTTAACTTTGAGGGAGTAATCCAGAAGAAGGAGGCATGAGATCCCCCACTCAATGGAAGGCCCTTTTGAACATAATATTTGTTTACCGAGTAATCGGGAAGACATCATTATTTTAGACCTGGGAGCCAGAGAAATTGAGAACCGTAGAACCCTGACCCATCTTGGCCTTTTAGGTGTAGCGCGGAGACTATAATGGAGTAATCCGGAAGTAGTTGTCACGCGATGCTACGCTCGGATGAGTTTCTCTTGAGAATATTGCTAATTATTGAGTAATCAAGACTTTGGTAATATCCGAAGGAGGAATTTAGACTCTGGGAAATTTTAGAACCTTGTCTTACAGGTGTGATTAAACCATTAGTACATACCTTGGGGTGGGCTTTATCCCTTGACTCCATGCACAAACGTTGAACCTTTGAACCTCGTATTTGTGAACTTGTGTATAACTGATTGCATTATCATTCATCCATGCATCCATCAACATTTTTTGAAAAACTATCAAAATGAATGATCATTTGCATCGCATATCATGCATCATCCAACATTTTTCGTAACGCATGTAGTGGTTTGCCAGAACTGGATTGTTGTTGATGTTCCTGCTGTGATGCACATTTCTGAGTAATGTTTTGTTTTATTTTTGAAAAAATTTTCGCTCTGCCCAAGGAGAAAAGTATTTGTGTCGGGCTATGTTGAAAATAAGTCCTTTTGCTCTGCCTAAGGCAAAAGAGAAAATGTATGGGCTCTTTGTTTCAAGTATTGCCCCTCATGAATAAAAAATGTTATTTTGTCCACTACTGTTTTATTTTTCACTTTTTTTTGGGAAATAGTAATGAAAATTAATTGGTAGTAATAGGAAAATATAATAATATTTTGTTTCATTTGTACAACATTCATATTAATCGATTTCTAAAATAAAGCATAATCATATGTGCAGATTAATCCATGACTTAACCATTGAAAACAATGATCCTATGCCCTCTCCCAACTTTGAATTCCCTGTGTTCAGAGCCGAAGAAGAGGATAGCGAAGAAGTTCCTGATGAAATTTCCCGTTTACTTGAGCATGATGAAAAGACTATTCAGCCGTTTGAAGAACCTATAGAGATGATCAATTTGGGTGATGAAGAAGATAAAAAGGAAGTCAAGGTCGGAGCGTTGCTTATCCCAGAGGTCAAAGAGAAAATGTGGGAGCTTCTTAAAGAGTATGTTGATGTGTTTGCTTGGTCCTACCAAGATATGCCAGGTTTGGACAATAATATTGTGGAGCATCGTTTACCGTTGAGACCTGAATGTCCGCCGATTAAGCACAAGTTGAGAAGGACTCGTCCCGATATGGCTGACAAGATCAAAGAAGAAGTTCAAAAACAAATTAATGCAGGTTTCCTTGTTACATCGGTCTATCCTCAATGGTTAGCCAATATAGTGCCTGTTGCTAAGAAAGATGGCAAGGTTCGAATGTGTGTACACTACAAGAAAAAAAGAGATTTACGACACATAAATTGCGACAGTTCCCACAAAACCGTCCTTATTCCTGAATTGCGACAGTTGTCACGACGGTTAGGCTCAACCGTCGTAGATTTTCAAGCATTATGAGTAACATAATTGCGACAGTTACCAAAAAACCGCCCTCTTTTCACATCCGCGACAATTAGGTGAACTGTCGTAACTACATTAGCCAATCATAATCGCTACTTTTTTTTATTCTTTTACTTTCCCACTTTTTTTCTTTCATTTCCCCTTCTTTTTCTCTTTTATTAATAATAATAATAATAATAATAATAATAATAATAATAATAATAATAATAATAATAATAAAATAAATTACCAACAAAATAAATTTTCACACCCATCAATATTAACCGCCGCATGAAAAAAATCTAATTAATTACTTGAAAAAAATTATTTAAAAATCATCAAAGACCACGACGGTGAAAATACCGTCGCCTACAATTACAAAACATCCACGACAGAGTCCCACCGTCGTCATCCAATAACTCATATTTCGCGCAGTGCCCTTGCGTTTTGTCTTCACTGCCAAACAGAATTCATGCACACAAATGAGTTAGGGTTTTGATTCATCATCAAATAATTTCACTCAGTCACGCAAATGGGTTTAGGGTTTTGTATCATCGCCAAATAATTTCTCTCAGCCACACGCGCCGTCAAAGTAACCACCATCAATTTGAATCTTAACAGGTTTGTCTTCTCAAACCCTAAATCCCTTTTCAAGTCCTAAATTTCTTCTGTAAAGTTGTTGTCAAACACAGAAGAGGTGCGTTGTTACTTCTTTTCTTTCTCTTTTGTAGTCTTACGAGTTCAAATTGTGAATAATAGAGTTGTAGTGTGTTCATATGACATTGGATTCTATGGGGGAAGGGTATGGAGTTAAATAAGCATAAAGTAGTAGTGAGCAAGTACTTGTTTATCTGTGCCAGTGTATGTTTAGATTGACGATGCTTTTGACATTAGGACTTGGTTTGTGTTTGGCTTTCATTGTTCTCACGATACCAATGTCAGTTTAGTTCAAAGCTACAAACTTAAGCTTCACTCACCACCGCATCTGAAAGACATTCCGCCGGGTCTCCAAACACAGGGTTAAGTGAGTGTTTGGTTAAATGTTTGAATGCTTAAACTCACATCAAACACTATTCAACTGCAACTTTTAAGAAGCTTCAAGTCTTGCCGTACAGTGTGTTTGGTTCTGCGGTGAAGAAAATTGATTTCAACTAAAAGTGAGTTGAGAATGAAGCGATTAAATTCTTACTTGAGAGCGACCAAGTAGAAGAATCAAAAGCATCATATCCTAGCTTCAAGTAGAAGAACCAATTCTTAAAAGCATAAACAATTTTACTCGAGAGCAAGCAAAATGTCAATTAATTCTACATATCCAAAATCAATTCTGGGAGCTCCAAACATGAAACCTAACATACATTACCTTATGAATCATCGTGGTCTTTCACTGTAATTACTTAGAGCATGTTTGGAAGTAGTATGTAATTTAGGTTTTTATTAGTTATGACAAGTGTCAGGTGAAGTTTAAGAAATATGAATTGGAAGTTTTTTGAAAAGTTGAAAGCTCTTTAGTATTGTTATTGTGATATTGCCCATATTCGGACAAGAAAAGGTTAAAAAACCCAGGGCAGTGAATGCTATTAAAATTTCATGAACTGCCTTTGGTGTAACCTTTTTTTACTTCATAGAAGGCACAATATTTGTCCTGAAAATTGAGCATGTTAGTTATTGCTTGCTAATGCTACCTTTGTGTATACTTTGGATTAAAAATAGACGAACCATATGGTAAGTATGGAATGGAATGGAATGATAGACAAAATTAGCTTGCCTAACCTAGCTATTGAATATCTGCAACTAGAATTGGTCACATGCTCATTTCCATAACCTGCTGTATCAATTCATATATTTCTTCTTTAGCAGAAAAGTTTGTAAGCTCAATCATACTTGTCTCCATACTTATAACAACAAAATGTACGTCAATTTGTTGTAGTTTATGACGGATTAAATGAATGTTTCTTGTAGGGAAACTGCTGGAAACTGCATGCTGGATGCTTGGAACCTTTGGACAACACTCTAGATTTACCTCTTGTCTTCAATGAAAAAGCCCTCATTTTTGTTTTTTTTCCGGCTAGCAACATTCATTAAAACAAGGTAATGAACAATTGATACGTATCATTGTGTTTGTGCATGAAAACTCATCTGTTTCTGGTTTACTATTTGCCTAATTGTTATTAACTATGCTCAGTTGTTAGCTGTATTTCCTTCCTTATGGTATTTTGCTCATTGCTAGCACATGCTTTGATGCAGATGCACAGATTCATGGAAATCTCAGATCTTAATAAGTCAAATATGCAAATCTTGCTGGCGATATTGGCTACTACGGGTGTGATTTTCCCACATTTTTGTTTTCTCTTTCATTATTTCCTTCATGTGTATTTTCATTTGTAGACGAGTGAGGAAAAGCTTCTCTAGTCTACCTGTCGAACAATTTAGTGCATATATGTATTTTTAGAGATTCAATTACAACTGCTACTGCAATGTCATAGGTGGGTTGTATTGGGATCAAAGGGTTTTTTGAACTGTAACTATGGCATTGAACCATTTTGATCAAGCCAATAACAAGTGATTTTCCCGAAGAAGTGGAAATACAATAACGAAACGATTCTTTGTTGTAATACAACATCCCTAGCTTGGCAATTATTTCTTTTCTGTTGTTCACCCTTCTTCCAATATTACTTTTTTTTATTTTAAGGAGAATCCATATATCTATCTTCTATTAATCTATTCCCAAAAAAAAGGTTTTCTAGCAATAACAGATCAAATTTTACACATCTATTTTTGTTAGATATATTGCTAGACATAAAAATGTACTTGCTGATTTATAATTTCCGTGTTTATAAGTGAAAATGTATTCAATTTGTGATTTATAAGTTTTGAGTTTCAGTTATGAGTTTTGACTTTGATTTTATAAGTTCTGAATATGCTGCTGAGATGAATGTTCTGATGAGTTTGAGTTTTGAGTTTGAGTTTTGAGTTACAGTGGAAATTCTGTTGAACTGAATATGCTGTCTTTGGCAATATAAAATATTTTTCTGCAATTCTGCCTGTTTTTGTTTCATATAATATATTCTGGAAATGATGCATTATGAAGCAAGTACTGAGATAAGTATATAACTTGTAAGCAATTGCTTCTAGATAGGTACAAAAGAAGTTAATACTAGATAGGTATATAACTTGTAACCATGTAGAAGAGTAGCCTTGAAATGAGATAGGTATATAACTTGTAAGCAATTGCTTCTAATTTTATAAATGATATGAATGATTCTCTAGGAATTAGTCTCATAATATTTTAAACTTGTATTTGGAATTTTAAACTTGTAGGCTTGCAATAGCTCTGCAGTAACATATGTTCCATTGTATGACACCCTTGGTATGTGTTTTCTGCCTTCACAGTTGTTTGTGTCCGATAACAAGTTGTTTGGTTGGATAACTATATGCTCTATTATAAGCATAAGCTCTTTTCATATAAGTGCTTATAATATAAGCTATTTCTAAAGCAAAATAAATTAAGTCAATCCAAACAAGATAATATGATTTCCTTTATCAATTCAAATATATCCTCTCTAGAAGTTTTGAACACAAACAAGAGTATAGTTGTAAATGCTCTAATTAACTTGTGTTTACGCCTAACAGGTCCTAATGCTGTGGAGTTTATCATAAACCATGCTGAAGTTTCAATCGCATTTGTTCAAGAAAATAAGATTGCATCAGTATGTTCTAGCTTTTTGAGCTCAATGTTTTAACAATTGCAACATGGAATGTCTAACACATTTAACTGTTTCAATGTTAAATCTAGAAAGCTTGTTATCAAATTGCTGTTTTTCTTTCTTAAGCTTAACATACTTGATTTGTGTTTATTTTTCTTGCCTTAACTATTGTGTAATTATCTAATATTCTATAAATCTAGATTAAGTTTTAATTTATTAAACACCTTTGCATTCAAGAGATATAGGCTAAAATTGTGCTCTATAATGACTTGATAATAACACAGATTGCTGTAACAATGTCTGTTCATCAGTATTCTATTTCAGTGCTGTCAATCGTGGTTCGCAGAAAATACTGGTTTTTAACTGCAATCTCAGTTTTCAGTGCCGTCGTGCTTCTTGTATCAACCCTATAGTTATATATGATAATCATAAGCTTGTAGTAACAATACTATTTTGATTTTGCAGGTAAGGATTTAAAAGACTCACGAGTGCTAACTGATGTCGGTGACGTCCCTATTCAAGAAATTCGAGATTGTGGCGTAGATGATAAAAGATTGATGAGTGTCATTGGCGAATCTGTCAAGTTAGTGATGGAAGAGGTAAATTTGTCAATTTATGATTTTGAATTAAAAAAGTACACCTTTATCATCCTCATATATTGTTTCTTAGCATTCACTCCACTATCATGTGAAATGCTATAACATTTTGCAGATAACTTTCTGTTCGAACTTGCTTGATCCTCGTGTTGTTTATATTCTTTCAGGCTCCTCTAAGACCCTTAGTTTTAGGTGGTGATCACTCAATATCATTTCCAGTTATTAGAGCTGTCTCGGAGAAGCTTGGAGGACCAGTTGATGTTCTTCATATTGATGCGCATCCTGACAACTATGATGCATTTGAAGGGAACATTTATTCGCATGCTTCTTCCTTTGCTCGTGTCATGGAGGGTGACTATGTTCGGCGACTCTTGCAGGTAATCTTTTATTGTTGATAAGTATAAAATCAAGGTGGCGCCGTGATTTTGTTGAAACTACAAACTGTAACCTTTTGCCAAAACAATGCTTTTTAATACATTTCAGGTTGGTATTCGATCAATAACAGCTGAAGGACGTGCACAAGCAAAAGTAAAATATCATAAAGAAACCTCAATTGACTCCACTATTTCATATCTTGGATTCAAAATCAAAGATAAGGTGGGGGTTCTTTTAGGTTTTGATTTTATTTAGGATGAACTAGGTTACTTGCTTATGTTTTGTTTGATGAGATACTTTGTATATCACTTGATTAAATATTATATGATAGTTCCCTTTCGTTCGAGTACTGAATTGATGATTGGAATTATCTTTGAGTGATCCATGTTAGTGAGAAGGAGTGTTGGTTTGGCTGTGTGTAGGAAATTCAAGGAAGAAAAAAAGGCCCTAGGCCAGTATGAGCCATAGCCCTCTTTACGGACAGGAGATAAGCACCTCAGATTTTTGTACCAGGGAGGATGGCCTGGTGTACTACGGCAGTGCCTACTTTGGGTGTTTTCTTTCCCAAATAACACCCTAATCCTTTTGGTTTTTGTATGTTATGCTTAATAGGTTATATATAAAATTATTAGATTGTAGAGTAAGTGTTTTCATTTACATTGATGTGAAAAATTTAGTTACAAGCTAACACATGTTTGCCTTATATAAAGCAAACTAGGAAAAAATGTTATAGCAGACGAAGGTCTGTCAAAACTGCCTGGTGTCAGTTTTGGTAGTTATAACAAAAATAAAAATTATCCTAACTTATCATTAGCAGGTATGTCTCTCTCTGCCTCCGTGTTTGTATGCTCGTGTATATATGCACGTACGCACGCGTGCGCATAGTAAATTCCAAACATGTATTGATACTAACTTGTGCATTTGTATGTTCTTTTTAAACCTTGGTGATTTCCTTGTGCAGAAACTAGGGGAAGGTGTGAAAGGGGTGTATATCTCGATAGACGTGGATTGTCTTGATCCTGCATTTGCTCCGGGAGTGTCTCATATTGAACCGGGAGGTCTTTCTTTCCGCGATGTTCTTAACATCCTACACAATCTTCAAGGTGATGTTGTTGCTGGAGACGTCGTTGAACTCAACCCACAACGCGATACTGTTGATGGAATGACTGCTATGGTAGCTGCTAAGTTGGTCAGAGAAATGGCTGCAAAGATTGCAAAATGATCAAGAGATTTCGGAGCTAACCTCTTTTTGTTATAGTTCCTGAAAATCGGAAAATCTCACTTGTTATAGGTAACTTGTAGCAAAGTTATAAGGTGGTATAAGCATATTACAATGTGCAATAATTCATAAATCTTTTCTCCCAATAATAAGTACTGGTATCTCACGGAAATCTCACGCTTCAATAGCAAAAGCAATGTCTCCTTGCATTATTTTACAAATGGTTTCCCAACTGAATTAATAATACTGAGTTAGTAAATATTTCAAAACAATTGGATTGCTCATTTCAAAACAATGTTGAAAAGTGATAGAAAATAAAATAAAAATACTATAAATAAAAAAATATTAAAGTAAATAATAATTTAAATATAATAGTAAAATATTATAGTAAAATAATATTATATTTAAAATTATTTTACTAAATAATAATTTAAATAAAAATATTATTTGAAATTTATAAATTAGATTACGACGGTTAAAGTCAAATTCACGACGGTATATAACCGTCGCAAACAACAACAACAAAAAATAAAGTCAAATTCACGACGGTATATAACCGTCGCAAACAACAACAAAAACAAAAAATAAAGTCAAATTCACGACGGTATATAACCGTCGCTATCTGTTGTGCGTGACAGTTTTTGCAACCGTCGCGAAATAGGCTGGGGACGCACGATTCTGCGACGGTACTTCTACCGTCGTAGATTGTAAATTGCGACGGTTTTAACCGTCGTAATCAGCCAAAATAACTGTCCCAATCTATCATTTTTCTTGTAGTGGTAGACTATAGAGATCTGAATAGAGCTAGCCCAAAGGATGACTTCCCATTACCGCACATTGACGTATTGGTCGATAGTACCGCAAAGTTCAAAGTCTTTTCTTTCATGGATGGTTTCTCTGGTTACAATCAAATCAAGATGGCACCAGAAGATATGGAGAAGACAGCTTTCATTACACCTTGGGGAACATTTTGTTATCAGGTTATGCAGTTTGGTTTGAGGAATGCTGGTGCAACATACCAAAGGGCCATGACTGCTTTGTTCCATGATATGATGCATAAAGAGATAGAAGTGTATGTAGATGACATGATTGCCAAATCACAAACTGAAGAGGATCATTTGGAACATTTATTGAAGTTATTCCAGCGTTTGAGAAAGTATAAACTCTGTCTGAATCCCAACAAGTGCACTTTTGGTGTTCGTTCTGGAAGACTTCTGGGTTTCATTGTCAGTCAGAAAGGTATTGAGGTAGATCCTGATAAAGTCAAAGCTATTCGGGAAATGCTCGCACCCAAGACGGAAAAACAAGTAAGAGGATTCCTTGGGAGACTGAACTATATTTCTAGATTTATATCTCATATGACTGCTACCTGTGGGCCGATTTTCAAGCTCCTCAGAAAGAACCAAGGATGTGTGTGGACAGAAGATTGTCAAAGAGCTTTTAATAGCATCAAAGAATATTTACTTGAACCTCCCATATTGATTCCTCCGGTGGAAGGAAGACCTTTGATTATGTACCTGACTATATTGGAAGATTCCATGGGATGCGTGCTTGGTCAACAAGATGAGACTGGAAGAAAGGAACATGTTGTATATTGTCTGAGTAAGAAATTCATAGACTGTGAGTCTCGATACTCAATGCTTGAGAAAACCTGTTTTGCTTTGGCTTGGGCTGCTCGCCGTCTGCGCCAGTATATGATTAACCACACCACTTGGTTGATCTCCAAAATGGATCCGATCAAGTATATCTTTGAGAAGCCCGCCTTATCTGGAAGAATAGCCCGTTGGCAGATGTTGTTATCCGAATATGACATTGAGTATCACACTCAGAAAGCAATCAAAGGGAGTATTTTAGCCGACCATTTGGCTCACCAACCAATTGACGATTATCAATCTATCAAGTTTGATTTCCCAGATGAAGATGTTATGTACTTGAAAGCTAAAGATTGTGAAGAGTCGTTACCTGAAGAAGGACCTGATCCTGAATCCCATTGGGGTTTAATATTTGACGGAGCTGTGAACCCTTATGGAAATGGAATTGGGGCAATCATCGTCACTCCCCGAGGTACTCATATCCCGTTCACGGCGAGATTAAAGTTTGACTGCACGAACAACATGGCTGAATATGAGGCATGTATTTTGGGTCTCGAAGAAGCAGTGGATCTAAGGATTAAGATTCTTGATATTTACGGAGACTCAGCGTTGGTAATTAATCAAATCAAAGGAGAATGGGAGACTCGTCATCCTGGTTTGATCCCTTACAGAGACTATGCTAGAAGATTGTTAACTTTCTTCAACAAAGTGGAATTACATCATATCCCTAGAGATGAAAACCAAATGGCTGATGCTTTAGCTACTTTGTCTTCAATGTTTCAAGTGAATGGTTGGAACAATGTGCCTACAATCCGGGTTATGCGCCTCGACAGACCTGCTCATGTGTTCTCAGTAGAAGAGGTCACCGACGACAAACCGTGGTTCTATGACATTAAACGTGTTCTTCAAACTCAAGAGTACCCGCCTGGGGCATCCAATAAAGATAGGAAGACGTTGAGAAGATTAGCAAGTAGTTTTTTCCTCAATGAAGAGGTATTGTATAAGAGGAATTATGACATGGTCCTACTCAGATGTGTAGACAGACATGAAGCAGACATGCTGATGCAAGAAGTACATGAAGGATCCTTTGGCACTCATGCCAACGGACATGCGATGGCTAAAAAGATGTTGAGAGCTGGTTATTATTGGATGACATTGGAATATGTGAAGAAATGTCATAAATGCCAGATTTATGCGGATAAGATACATGTGTCACCGACCCTCCTCAACGTTATCTCTTCACCTTGGCCTTTCTCTATGTGGGGCATTGATATGATTGGAATGATTGAACCCAAAGCTTCAAATGGTCATCGTTTCATCTTGGTAGCGATCAATTATTTTACTAAATGGGTGGAAGCGGCGTCTTATGCTAATGTAACCAGACAGGTGGTAGTCAGATTTATCAGGAATCAGATCATTTGTCGATACGGTATCCCGAGCAAGATCATCACTGATAATGGTTCGAATTTGAATAACAAGATGATGAGAGAGCTTTGTGAAGAGTTCAAGATCGAACATCATAATTCTTCTCCTTACAGGCCAAAGATGAATGGGGATGTTGAAGCTGCTAACAAGAACATCAAAAAGATTATCCAGAAGATGGTGGTAACTTATAAAGATTGGCATGAAATGCTTCCGTTTGCTCTGCATGGATATCGTACTTCAGTTCGAACTTCAACAGGCGCAACCCCTTTTTCCCTAGTTTACAGCATGGAAGCAGTACTCCTCGTGGAGGCCGAGATTCCGTCTATGAGAGTGTTGATGGAAGCTAAACTTTCTGAGGCTGAATGGTGTCAAAGTAGATATGATCAGTTGAATTTAATTGAAGAAAAGAGATTGACAGCTTTGTGTCACGGTCAATTATATTAGTAGAGAATGAAGAAGGCTTTTGATAAGAAGGTTCGACCACGCGAGTTCAGAGAAGGTGACCTCGTGCTCAAGAAGATATTATCTTTCCAACCTGATTCTAGGGGGCAAGTGGGCTTCGAATTATGAAGGACCGTATGTCGTTAAGAAAGTTTTCTCTGGAGGTGCCTTGATTCTCACAAATATGGACGGTGAAGAGCTCCCACGCTCCATGAACGCCGATGCAGTCAAGAAATATTTCACTTAGGTTTGAGTTGACAGTTTTCTAAGTTGAAAACCCGAAGGGGCGGCTTAGGCAAGCTTTTGGTCAGACCAGTCTTGGCATTTGAACACATTTCGGAATTCGAAGTTGTTAGGGAGAATAGTGATCATCGCTTTTGTGTAACCCTTTTCTTTCATGTACTATTTCCCAAACTTTTGTAAACCGTTGGAGTCGCGTTGTTAGCGAACTACCATCTTATTAATGAAATTTGAGCATTTACCTTTTGTGGGCAAAATCTTAATTTTACGGAAATATTTGAAACAAAGTTATTTAAAGTATTCTTATTTTAAAAATGTGTCGTGAATAATGAAGGGGATATTAACAGTTGTTCCGAGGATGGTCAAGCCACAAAATGCAAAACAATACAGTATTTTATCCTTGCATGATGAACATGTTTCGTTTCAAAATCGTCATGAGGCGTTGGTTGTGTAAACTTGCGTTTCTCGTGGTACTAAGTTTGGTGACTCCCCAGCTGTTCCAGTTAAGCGTTGTTTTGGTTACCTTTATTTGAGCAGATTTCTGAAGTGTGGTACGCTTTGTCTCATGCCAGTAATCTATTGGTATTAGAGGATTGGGGTTGAATACTTTTCTCCTCAGAAGACTTGAGCCTTGTAGCGTGATGCGCTCTAACGTTGCTTTGTGGTTCCAGTTCCAGTTATTTTCCGTTTTTTAAGATTGGCCGAGTATCTATTATTTCGTGACATCTTATCGTCTTCAAGATATTCCATCTGTTTGTTTTGTCAGCATAACATTCGTTTACTCATTTACACTTATATCACGCATGCATATTCACATTTGCCGTTGATTTTGGGTTGTATACTTTGTTTATTAAGACAATGTACATGTTTCTTTCCAAGTAGAATGTTAACTTAGGCAGAAAATGTGCTTCCTTTCTAAATTCCCCAACTGAGCTAATCCTCGTGGATGATTTTTTTGATTTTTAGCCTACTTTGTCCATTTCGGGATAGGATGAATCCCCTAATCAAGTTACTTTCTCATTGGGTGGAGTCTTGTTTGACTGTTTTCTCTCTGGTTTATTCCTGGAGGGAGTTGTTGTCTCTTGCATAGGCTATCTTATGATTTTCCCCAGTGAAGTCGCCACCTAGACAAATGATGCATTTATTTTGCGCATTTAAGTATGTGATCTCCTCGGGAAGGATTGATTCATTGGTTCTCTTTGACGAAGATTTTATTCTCTGCCAGTATCATCGTAATTTCCTTCTGAGTTATTCTTCAAAAAACGGCAAGCGGCGGTCTCTTCATGAGCAACTTGTACGTTATTA